GCTAATGGTGTCTGTTTGGGGGTCCAGCGTTGGTGTTATCCACTACAGCTTCATGAAACCTGGTCAATGGATTACAGTGGATGTCTGCTGCAACCAAGTGAACAAAATGAAGAGGATGCTTGTGATTGAGCAGCCGAGGTTGGTAATAAAGACAGGGCACTCCTCTTATAAAGCAGTGCCAGACCACGTGTCCCACAAACGACGCTGTTCAAACTACAGAAGCTGGACTTGGAAACTCTCTGTCATCCATCGTATTCATCTCACCTTGCACCAACTGACTACCACTTCTTCTAGGCCTTTGGACCACTTCTTACGAGGAAAAATATTCAGTTCTCAACGAGCTATGGAAAACACCTCTCACAATTTCATCGCCACTCACTCTCCAGGGTTCTTGGCTGCTGGCATAAACAAGCCACCATTCAGATGGCAAAGCTGTGTCAATAGCTTAGGTGCATACTTTGATTAATTGTACTGTTTGTTGATTGAGATATAATAAACCAGTGGTCCCCAACATTTTTGGCACCAGGGACCAATTTCATGGAAGAGAATTTTTCCACACATGGGGGGGCAAGGGCAGCAGAGCTCTGTGGCCCGGTCCCCACTGGTCCACAGCCCGTGGGTTGTGGACCACAGTAATAAACTACCCTTTTGATTGAAATCGGACATTTCGTATTTAATGACCTAATACATTATGGCCTCGCCTTCAATGAAATATTATACGACCATTAAAAGTAAAAAGAAGAAAGTGTTTACATAATATTAAGTATGAAAGATTGATAGTGATACTGAATAGTGGTTTCATATTATAATGCCAATAGGAAAAATTTGAGTGTGTATCTGTGTTTGTGTAGATACATTAATGCTAGCTAGATAGGCAATTATACATGAACAAAGGCTTGAAAGAATAAAACAAAATATACCAAATTGTTAACAGTGGTTATTACTTTGTTCTGTGTTATAAACAACCCTGGAGTTCATTCGTCTTAGTATCACAAGAATGGAAAACAAACACCACATGTTCTCAATACTAAATTGGAACTAATTGATCAACGCTTATGTGCACATATAGAAGTAAAACTCAAGGAAAATCAAGTAGGTGGGTGGGGGAAGGGATGGGTAAATTCATACCTAACAGGTACAATGCACACTAACTGGGTGATGCGCACAATTACAACTTAGACTCAAACTGTACAAAAGCAAATTACGTAACCAAAACGTGTGTATCCCCCGTAAAACTCTGAAATAAAAGAAAAATAGCACTTTAAGCTATGTTTATAATAATACAGCAAAGAGAAGGTAGGAGAAAAATCAGAAATGATTAATATCATAGATGCCAAACCAGAAAATTTTTAATAAAACAGAAGATTTACTATAAAAGTTGACACAGAGTCTGTTAGAATCATAGAATGTATTATCCCCAGTGGTACAGATTGAAAATAAAATAGATTTAAAATTGGTTTAGAGACATTTCTAATGGATACTGTGACACAGGTCACCTTTAGGATTTAATGTATGGTGTAGCCTTGCTGCCTTACAGCAAATCTAATTTCGGAATAGGCTGGCCGCTGCTCTGACTCAGCCAAAAGAAAGCCCACGTTTTCCTTCTGCATCAAGAACACTGGCTGTGTCACTTGTGTCTCATAGAAATACTAATTTTAGAGACTAATTTTAAAAGAACAGGCTGGAAAGTCCCAAAGGCACCACTCTCTGTTCAAGGAAAAGGTGTACACTATATATGACATAAGCCCATTTCTTCCATCCTCCCGACTTAAAGGAGCAATTCTGCTGTTCATCCTTATTCACTCTGCTCACGCAGAGTCATGGTCCCTCAAGCGTAATGCTCAGGATTGGGTATCATTAAAACTGCAGAACGGGCTTCTTTGGGCTACCTTACCTGATTTGGAAAAGGCTTTTCCACCCCATAATTCACTTGTTGTATGAGCCAATAGAAATTCTAAAATGAGAAATTCAGTTTTGACTTTAATAATTACTAAGATGCCCGGAATACTTTTACACATAAGTGTTTTCAGCTGCTTGCTTGGGTAACTGGCAGCATATTCAGACAAAAATTAGCCTAATGCAGACAGATTCTAAAAAAATGCCAGTCACATGAGTCTACTCATTCTATACACCAGAATCAGGCGTATCAGACAGGTTCAAGTAGTCCAGGTTAGCTTTCGCTAAGTTATGATACTGTAACAGATGACATTAAAATCCCAGTGGTTTATAGTAAGAAAGGTTCGTTTCTTGTTCATGATACACAACAATTAGGGTCAGCTCCAGCTCTGTTCCATGTCTTCATTCTGGCCTTCCAGCTAAAGGAATGGCTCTTTTCTAGAACATACTCCTCTTGTGGTGGGGGAGGCAGGGAGGGGGTCAATGGCGGAGCCACATGATGGTTCTTAAACCTTCTGCTTAGACCTGTCCATGGCACTGGAGTGTATTGCATTGGCCAGCGCAAGTCCAACAGCCAATGCTGATGTAAATAGGACATGAAAGTATAATCCTCCTACACAAAGGCCAGGGAATAACTGAGGAACAATACTACAGTCTACCACATAGTATCTGAAGGATACTATATTTTATATAGCATATATAGACTATTATAACTTAGAATCTATTCCGAGACAGAGCACAATATATGAATAGCTTCATTAGCAAAGGACTTGAGTATGTGAAGAAGTGGAACCACTTGGCCAGCTCAAAAAGAAGCAGAGATACTTCTTCCACTATATCAGGAGGGAAGTTAGAGAAGCCAGATATGCATATAGGTGGGTTCTAGAATGAGAATCTATAAACATTTTAATATACAACTAAGCTAAAGATAAATATAAACACAAATTTAGAATACCAGCTTGACATCTAACATTGGTTTCCAGATCATCCCCCTACCCCTACCCACCCCTCCTCTCAACCCATCCACATAGCCCGTGGAGCTGACTCTCATTCCATGATCCATAGATTTTTATCTGGTGTCTCATTCTTTTTCCTGTTCCATTGCTCATTTCTTTATTTCATGGTCCTCATAGTCTGTTTCCAATGAGGCACTCAGTCCACATTCCTCTAAGTACGAACTATATCAGTTGCTTATTTTTTTAAAATAGACTCTGTTTCTTCCAGTACACACTGAAAAATATTGGCTTCCAATTTCTTAAACCATAAATGACTTTTTGTTTTATTTTCTGGTTTGCCCACCATTTAGCTCTTTAATAGGAGCATCAATTCCTGCATCTGTGTTCTCTGCTCCCAGCTTTCTGTGCCTATGATGAGACAAGGCACATCTTAAAGTCACTGTCATGTGAAAGCAAACTTCTTATTTGAAATCTAAACAAGAATATCTAAAGCATCTTCCCCACTGGATAGGAATGTCTACTCTATATCATTTCCTATCTTACATTTCTATACATGCTCTACCTGCAACTCATCTGTCCTCTCAACTCAGGTGATGTTCCTGTCGAACCATCATCTCCCACCCACACTTGCTCACATGGTAATAGTAATCCATCCTCTAATCTTGTGTATTCCTAGGATGCCATATTTATTGCAGATGGCCAGCTTTCCCCAATCCTAATGCCTCCTTAGAAGGTATCTACCTCTATTTAAGTTCTTTTTCCTGAATACAAAAACTTTGTTATCTTTATTCCTATATCACTGCTGACAAAGCCAGTAGAAGCCAAAAAATCAAAGAGCCTGGATTTCTAGTACTGGAAAACTCAACATAATCTCTTGTGTTAAGATCCAGGAAAATATAATTTTACTCATAATTTCCATTTCATCTGATTACCATTATTTCTCAAACAGTTAATGATACTGACCAAGGTATTGTTAATCAAAATCCTATGCTTATGGAGGTGATGAATATGTTTATGGCATTGATTTTGGTTATGGTTTCATGGGTGAAATCTTATCTCCAAACTCATCAAGTTGTATACATTAAATTGTGTACAACTTTTTGTAAAAAATAAAATTTAAAAATCCTATGCTAACAGTCAGTCTCTGAGCTGTCTTATGTTTAGTGAGACTGCACACACATTTCTGTCAACATCAATTGAAAGTTACATTGTCGTTTTATCATTTAGCAATTCAATTCCTCAAATATGTCAAGAGACTTTCCAGACAGCAGAAGAAGATTAATATCTTGAACCTTGAGAATACTTGGTACTCACAAAGATTCTGATTAAAGTGCTAAGTTTGTGAGAGTTTACTTAACACCCTCCTTCAAACACTAGCACCTACAAAATGGTGCCTCGGTTGGAAAAATGCCTCCCATGCGCATCCTCTCCAAGTGGCAATTTAACACCAGAGCTGAGGATAAGCATCTCCAGCAGCAAGTGTCATTTGATGGTTATGATGTCCTCTACTACATTCTGAGATACTTTCCAACATTCCCATCTGATTTCCATTCCTTGCCTGGTCCCTTATTTCTGGTTTGAACCGTAAACCATGAATATGAAGTTGAATTTTTCATCTATCTCTGTTTTGCTCTGACTGGATACTGAGAAACACTTTAGGCTATACAACCTGATCAGAGAATCACTCCCACATAGCTTGGATAGTTTTCTTCCAACTTTGACCTGCATGTTTAAATTCTAATCCCTGCTCTTACCTTCCAGTTTGGTGTAAGGTCTTAGATTTTTCACATCAAATTCATGATAGAGCTCTGTCCACCCATCCAGCTTAAATCCTTTTTCTGGGTCTTTGTGATGTCTCCTGTCCTATCAGTCCTAGACCCATTCACACTGGTGGGCATTTTACTCTGAGCGACTCAGAATAAAGGGACGACCTCACCAATGATTGGCATTGTCACGACATGCTTCAAATGTATAGACCTAAGCGTGTGAGAGATATAGATATTGTTATACATATAGATGGACATATAGATATAAAATATTTGCTTGTTAAATAATTTGAGAATTTTGTTTTAAACTACATTAAATGTTGTTCTGATTTTTTGATAATTTTGACCCATGAGAATAAACTGATTTCTCCACTACTTTCAGATGGTCCAGTAGTCTATGCAGCATATTTAAAAATGGAGCACAGTGATGAGAATATTAAATTCTGGATGGCATGTGAAACCTATAAGAAAATTGCCTCACGGCGGAGCAGAATTTCTAGGGCAAAGAAGCTTTATAAGATTTACATCCAGCCCCAGTCCCCTAGAGAGGTAACTACCAGACGACAGTGGGAAACGGACTCAGTGCAGCCCTGGGAGGGCACTAATCTCTGTCAAGCATCCGTGAGCGCCAGGCACTTCACACCCAGTATCTCCTAACATGCTCCACATTTGGTACTGCTAACGTTACTTCATAGGTGAGAGACCTGAGACTCTGAGAGCCTGCCCGGGTCACACAGCCACTCAGCGGTAAAGTTAGGATTCGAAGTTAGGCCTGTCTGGCTCCAAAGTTTCTCCTTAAATTAAATTATCTTAATTCTCAGAAAAGTTAAAAAAATGGGGAGTCCTTGGAAGAAGAATTGGCCTTATCAGTAGAAACCACAAATGCCATAAATAGGCCCATGGACACCCCCAGTGGTGCTGGACAAGGTCTGTGCTAGGGCACCGGCAGGAAGCTCACCTTGCTTGCAAACCAGCAAATCCAGCAGACATCCACAGCAGTGTTACTGTGGATATCGTCTACAGCTGCCCGAAGAAAACAGAGTCATGAGTGAAACAGATACACTGAGTCTCCTCCTAGTGGAGAGAGACAGAGAAACGAAAATTCACTTTAAGGGATGAAGATAGAGGACGATGTATGAGACATCTATCATCTAGGACCGTCTTGCGTTATTGACTTATTCCCCAAAACTCTTGCCTGGAAAATACTTGGTTTATTGAAATAACCACTTCTCCCTTCTATCTCTACTTCTCCTCACTTTTTTCCCATTTCAGAGCATATTCAGTTAAATCAACATTTGTGACTACTAAGGCAGATAAATTTTAAAATCACCAACTTTCCTTTTCCTTAAAAAGAGATCTCTATCCCACAAACTTCCTGGTTTGCAGACTGCTGCTAACAAACCACTTGCACCCTCCTAAGTAAGCAGTTGTTTCTGAGACTTCCCTGGTCTTGGGCCTCATGTTTTACCCCCCACCCCAGGATGTGGAGGTAGATTATTACTTTTAAAAAAGCAAAAAGTATCTCTTACAAGTCTTTTTAGGTACCTATGAAACTGCAAACAAATTACCCTATTCCACTGAAAAGGAGGGGGGAATAAAGTAAACCTTTTCATCATATGTGTCAGTCTTCAATCATGCTTACTGATGCTGTACATGTAATTTCACTTTTCAGATTAACATTGACAGTTCGACAAGAGAAACTATCATCAGGAACATTCAAGAACCCACTCAAACGTGTTTTGAAGAGGCTCAAAAAATAGTGTACATGCACATGGAAAGGGATTCCTATCCCAGATTTCTAAAGTCAGAAGTGTACCAGAAACTTTTGAAAACTATTCAGTCCAACAACAGTTCCTGACTACCACTCAAAAGTTTAAATTGAAAATGATACATTGAAAGTACCGGGTTTGGTCTTTTAATTTAGAAAAACATAAAATCAGAAACAAAGTAGGAATGAAGCCAAAATAAAACTATAAATTGATTTCTAGTTCTGAAATAGAAACAGATCTCAAAAGGAACAGGCTCTAGAACTCTTATAACATGACTAAAACCATTTACAGCATACCTATGTAGTTTTGTTAATATATAAGGAAAAGGTAGGTCTTTCTTCATGACACAAACATTATGAAGTTTTTACTGTGATAGTCAACTAATAGATGTTTTCTTATTAATAAAATTTTATAGTCATAATGTACAAATTAGTTCTTTAAAAATTGTAACTATATGAATTGTGTCTCTAACATGAATATATTCTATGGATAGAGTACTCTTAATAATTCGAATTATTTCTCTAGATAGTACTAAAAATAAGTAAATAATAATTTGAATTGGTAGACAAATTTGGTACTCATAGTACAATCAATTGTATTATGTCATGAACAATATAAAAAATATGTTCTTGAGAGATATTTTATCTGTAAAATTTTCCTACTATTATGTCCATAACTGAACCATATCACTTGTATCTTCTACATGTGAAAAATTTCTGATGATTCTAAGCTATTGAAAATATATAAATTTCTTCATTTATTCTTGCACTTACATAGCTATAAGGGTATAAAATTTGGTTCCTATATTTGGAGATTTTTTTCCTTACAATGTGAATTCATCATGGTCTTGGTAATTAATAAATTCAAATATAAACTAAAGATTTATAAATATATGGTTTTTTGAAAGAAACAATAAACATATTTTTCCAGTGCAAATTTCTAAAGGACTAAAGTTGGTGTGTTATAACAGTAAGAATATATAATATTTTTACTTTTCATAGTTTTCATGGAAAATGTAGGAAATTTAACACATTCATTTGATGTTACTTCACTGTCACTTCATTTTTTATATAGTTATTTATTCATTTTTTAGAGATGGGGTTCCACTCTGTCGCCCAGGTTGGAGTGCAGTGGCCCGATCACAGCTCACTATAACCTCAAACTCCTGGGCTCAAGCAATCCTCCCACCTCAGCCTCCTGAGTAGCTGGGACTACAGGCACAGGCCACCACATCCAGCTAACTTTTTTATATTTTGTAGAGACAGGATCTCACTATGTTGCTCTTACTGTCACTTTAAAACAACATTAAAAGAATCCAGATTCAAAACCCATCTTCGGAAGCACATAATAATATTTACAAGTGCAAACGTTTATCTGCTGCCTTTCATATTTGAAAGATTTTAGAAATTTTAAGTTTTGTATTTCCAAAGGAAGAAATCATTCAAAAATGATTTTTCCTCCTTAGAATCATTGTAAGTATTTGCATTTTCCCCTGGTTTTGAAAAGTGGCTTACAATACATTTGACCCTTCTACTGAAGCAAAGCCTTCCCTCGCAGTGATTCACTAATTCTCCCATCGCGGCGTTATTTATTCCATGAGTCCTTACACTTTATTGGCACCTAGGAGAATACATTTTGACGGAGTCCGATGTCTCTATAGTTCACAACATCCCAGACATTTTCTCTCTACTGTTTTTTACTTTTAAAAATGAGCAACGGGAGCGACTGCACAGCCAATCACGACACGTTCAGGTGCTAGGAAGGGGCGCGTCGCTCACTCGCCTGCCGCCAGCCCCGAAACGAAGGAAGCCGGGCAAAAAATAAGTGAATAAGCAAAGAAGCATAACTTATATAATAAAAAAAGCACTTTGATTTTGCACAATAGAAAGAATATTGAATTCATTGTTAGGAAACATGGATTTCAGTTCTGGATTTCCTGGGGTACCTAGATAAATTAATTTAGCTCTGGGTAAACTAAGGAAATTATACAAATCATATACTCTCTCTGCTCTTCAGTTTCCACATCTAACCCCCTCATCGATGAGGCGATTAGAATAGATAATACCTTGGTTCCTTTCCAACTTCGAAATTCTAATTACCTTTAGTACTTTCAAATTGCCAAGTTCTTCAATATCTGAAGGGTTCGGGGTGACATTCTCTTGCTTACCCTCTGATTTTATATATTTAATAGTATGATATATCATTAACACTGAACTTTGCCACAGAAGCACTCTTCCAGAATCACAGTGATCAGGTGTTTATAAATCATGAACCATCTCTGGCCCCTACCGGCTCCCATAACACGGGTCTTCCCACACCGTTCACTGCTGAAACCTATGTTCCATCGCCAAGAAAAGCCTTCACAGACTGTAGAAAACACTGTGGAGGCTCTGCAAAAAATTAAAAATAGAACTACCATATGATCCAGGAATCCCACGTCTGGGTATTTATCCAAAGGAATTGAAAATAGGCTCTCAAAGAGATGTCTGTACTCCTATCGTCACTGAAGCATTATAATTAGGTTGTTTCCATATCTTCCAAAACCTCCATATCATAATGGCAAAGTTATGGAAACAGCCTATATGTCCTTCAACAGATAATTGGGTAAAGAAAATACTGTATAGACAATGGAATATTATTCAGCCTTAAAGAAGAAGAAAATCTTGCCTTTTGCGCCAACAAGGATGGTGACGGAAGACATTATGCTCAGCCAAATAAGCTACACACAGACAGAGAAATACTGCATGATCTCACTTATCTGTGGAATCTAAAATAGCCAAGCTGATAGAAACTGAGATAGTGGGATGGCAGTTGCCAGGGGCTGGAGGGAGGGAGAAATGGGGAGATACTGGTCAAAGGGTACAAAGTTTGAGTTATTGAGTACGAACAGTTTGTGGAGATCAAATGTACAGCCTGATGACAGCAATTATATATTTGTATACTTGAAATTTACTAAGAGGATAGATCTTAAATCTCAACACACATATACGCACACACACACAAATGGTAACTAGGTAGAGTGATAGATGTGTTAATTAACTGGATTATGGAGATCATTGCACAATGTATACATACATCAAAAGTTGTATATCTTAAATATATACAATTTTTATATGTCAATGATTGCTTAGTAAACCTGTTTTTAAAAAGCCTTCACAGACTGTTTGGGGGAGGAGCCAAGATGGTGGAAGAGAAAAGGCGCCAGTCAGAAAGTCTCTGCAAAAAAGACTAATTTTAGAAGAAACAGAAAAAAAATAAGCAAGCAGAGAAACATAGATCGGGTGAGGGTCGGAAGGAAGGGTGCCTGAAACTACAGGAGACTCCACGGGAAGACGTTGCGGAGGAGAATTGGAAGGAGAAATGTCCCGAGAGGCTTGGAGACCAGCGACAAGGGTGGATGGAGCGGTTAACTTCCCCCTCCCTCGCATCTCGGACTGCTGGTGGCTCCTGAGCGGCTGGAGAGACCTGCCGACACCAGCCCAGAGACGGCTGCCGCCAGTGAGCAGTGGCCTCTTGTGGACTCAGCGCAGGGCTCCCAGCGCCCTCGGGCACCTCCCCGGGCACAGACCCGAGCCTAGCGGCAGACGCCATAGTGCTCCATTCTCTCCTGCCCCTCCCTACCCGTGCGTGCCCAGAGAGACAATTTGACCACCACACGGAGGCATCTCCAAGGAACGGGACCTTTCCTTTTGGGGCCGTATGGCAGACTGAGGGGCACTCAGACTGCAAGTTCCCTACCCGCCAGCCCTCCGAAGGTGCTGCTTGCCTGGGGACTCCAGGAGAGTGAGGCAAATCCCAAGGTGGAGTGAAATCGATCCAGCTTGGGCACCCTGTAGGTGATTCAAGACCAGCACCCTTCCCCCTGGGAGGGTCAGGGATTGATCTCCAGGGCCCAGAGGACAGGCCTGCAGACCAGACCCTGTACACCCAGGTCACGATCGCACTTCCGTGGAGCACGAGAGATCTGTGAAAGAGCCTACTGAGGAGTGTGTGCCTGCAGGGGCAGATCAGCATGCCCAAGCGGCAACCCTCCTCCTAAAAGAGGGCTGTGACCCAGCTCAGGCTGCAATCCTGGGTAGGGAACCTCCCGGCCCACGTCACAGCCAGGGAAGATCCATCGGCCTGAGGTCCTGCTTGCTGGCAGAGGCCTGGGAGAGGCCATGGAGAGGGGGAGAGTGGAGGGGAGTGAGACCTGCTCTGGAGTGTGGGTCTCAGACAGCCCCAACCCCCAAGCCCAGACTTTTTGGCTGAGTGGAGCCATTGGAGTCCCTCCAAGCAGCTTTGCATAGAAACGAAGAGCAGACCTTTGACCCCTGCTAATAGCAGTTGTGGAGCCTGAGGCTGGCTTACCCAACCCACCCACACCCAGACTCACTCCTGGTCCTGCCCCCACTGAGGTGGAGAACAAGGACACACCTGGAAGTCTCAGGGCCCCACCCATTACCCGAGGCACAAGAGGGCCTCTCTAGAGGAACAAGAGCTAGCTACAGGACCCCAAAACAGCACGCTTCTCCCTGCAAGTGTCACCTACTGACAGGGAGGTCATCCTGCACACCCTTTTACTGCATCTCCTGATTCATCATAAAGGATGTGGTCGAATCTCACCCACAAACACCACCTACTGGCTCAGAGACTAAACAGGGTGTGTCATTATCCAAATGAAAATCTAAAGGCAAGAAGGAACAACTGATCCAGATGGGAAGGAACCAGCGAAAGAACTCTGGAAGTATGAAGACTTAAACGGAAAGCACACCCCCAAAAAGGAACAACAGCTCCCCAACAATGGAAACAAACCAAACTCAGAACACTAAAATGACAGAAAAAGAATTTCAAACATGGATTTTAAGAAAACTGAATGATATGCAAGAAAAAATGGATAACCAACACAAAGAAACCACAAAATCTAGGACTTGGAAGAAAAATTCACTAAAGAAATTGAAATATTGAAGAAAAATCAAACCGATCCCCTGGAAATGAAGAACTTACTCAGGGAACTACAAAACACCATGGAAAGCCTCAAGAACAAGGTAGATCAAACAGAAGAAAGAACCTCAGAGATTGAAGACAACTCCTTCCAATTAAATAAGAGAAAAGAAATAAGCCTACAAGAAATGTGGGATTATGTGAAAAAATCGAACCTGAGGGTGATAGGGGTTCCGGAAGGTGAAGAAGAAAACACTCAAGGGCTGGATAAGGTATTTGAAAAATTAATAGAGCAGAATTTCCCAGGCCTTGTAAAAATCTAGATATACAGGCACAAGAAGCTCAACGGACCCCAGGGAGATTCAATGCAAATAGGAAACCATGTCACACAGTCACCAGATTGACCAAAATATCCACTAAAGAGGCCCTTCTATGAGCTGTAAGGCGAAAGAAACAAGTAACATACAAAGGAAACCCCATCAGAATAACTCCAGATTTCTCAACTGAAA